ATTCAAACAGATGATGTCTCCTATTTTGAGGCGGATGAACATGTTTGTGATTTTATTAGGAAATGCTCATGTACGAAACAAATAAACTTAATTTTTTGCATGAAAATGAGCGAATCTGAAAGAAGTTTCTTCCCATTTTTTTCATACGCCGCTTTTCCAAACTTTGATGGAGATGATTTCCGGCCGTTTCCTCCGTGGCTGATCTGAGTTCTGCCACATGCTGAAGACTGAACAGGTGTGAGTAGACTAAACAGGTCTGAGTATACGAAACAGGTCTGAGCAGACTGAACAGGTGTGAGTAGACTGAACAGGTCTGATTATACGAAACAGGTCTGAGTAGACTAAACAGGTGTGAGTAGACTGAACAGGTCTGAGTAGACTGAACAGGTGTGATTATACGAAACAGGTCTGAGTAGACTGAACAGGTGTGAGTAGACTGAACAGGTATGAGTGGACTGAACAGGTGTGAGCAGACTGAACAGGTGTGAGTAGACTGAACAGGTGTGAGTAGACTGAACAGGTATGAGTACACTGAACAGGTTTGAAGCTGAAGGCTCCTGACACCTGTTGCCTTCTTAAACCCGGACATTTCCTCATCTGTGTCTCTGAATCTAAACGGACGTCTGATTTTTAATAAAAAAAGCTATTTTCAAAGCAAAACGTGATCTATAAACATCTCAGAAATGCGAGAATGATGGAAACCTTCTCTGAGCTGAACATTTACCTCATTATTAAGGCCGGAGAAGACGAAGCTTCGCCTAAACATGTTGTGGTGGCAAAAGATGCCGCATTTCTCACTTCCTGTGCAGATAATTTCACAACGTGGGTGTCGAGACACTCCTCTTGAGCTCGGCCACAAACAGGAACTGGGCCGCCCTCGGCCTTTCTTTCAGCCACCAGAAACCGGCAGATTTAAAGACATCAGGCAGAGCATGGATCCTCTGGTGACCCTCCTCATTTTCATGCTTCAGATCAAAGGTAATTCCTTCTGTCTTTCTAAGATCCTGTTTTTACCGGGGGGAAAACGTCCGCGGTCATTACGGGGCAGCTTCTGTGTATTTGGAAGTTAACTGAAGAGTACGGCACAGGAAAGAGCTGTTCTTCCTTTGAGCTGCAAAATGGACAGCTTTGGCTTCATTAAGCATTTTTCTACAAGGATTCGAGTTGAATTAGCTCTCAGTTGTTAGCTGGAAACTCCTGGCTGGCTTTTTGGAGCCTTTTTGATAAAATTGCTGCTTTTATTTGGAAAGATCTGCATCTTCAGACGGTTCAAATATAAAGAAGGAAGTTAGAAAACTCAACAGAAAGACTTCAAAGTGTGAGAGTAAGATAATTATTATAAGATAAAAGAAATGAGCGTATCAAAATGAAACTGTTGGTGTTAAAAGAGAAGTTATTTTACATGATGACAGTGATGTAACACTAAAAGTCGACTTTTAACTAATATAGTTGACCTTTTTTAACTTTTAAAACCACGACTGAAAGCCACCTTGATAATTTTCAATTAGACTTCAAATGCAAAGAGTTCACTTGGGTGAATAAAAATAATAATCTTAATTGAATTTCAACAGGTTCTCAAATGAATGCAGAATCTATGAGATTAAAGCTTCTTCTTCTTTTTAAGCGATGAAACACTGTTGGAAATGGTTTGAAATCAGACTTAAAGACAGGTGTTTTAAAAGGTTTTAAGTGTTAACTAATGAAAATGTTGCTAACTGAAACATGGCCAGTGCATAAACCTTCAGGATCAATTCTCTGAGTTTGTTTGTGGCTGATGAGTGAAACTCTCCTCTGAATGTTTCCTTTTCTCTGCAGCAGCCCTCACTGAAGAGACTTTCTACAGAAATGGACAGAGTGTTGCTCTGCGGTGTACAACAGATCTATCACAAACATGCGGAGATGTTGACTGGCTCTATAACAGAGATGGAGGTGTAACACTAGAAGAGGTCAGAAAAGGGAATATTGAAGCAGAGTCAGGTCGAGCTGCCAGGCTGAGTGTGAACGCTGACTGCTCTCTGATCATCAACAACATCTCTGCTGAGGACTATGGACGCTACACCTGTCGACTTAGGGACAGCCTTCACCATGACAAAATTATCAATCTAAGTATCTTAACAAGTGAGTATTTTATGCTTCATAAACACTATCTTACTTAATTGACTTTAACTGAAATTGGGACATGTGAACAGCAGCATCTGTCATAACTCATCACTTTGCTCCATAATCATTAAGAATAAAGATTCATTCAATTAAACTTGAAAGAAAGTTACACTTAAAGATGATTATTTTTTAAATTCTCATAATTTCTTAACATAAAGTATAATATTCCTCATTTCTAAGGCTGAAAAATCTGGATTAATCTCTTTCTGTCCTTCAGTTTCTCCATCTCCAGCAGACGCTGATACAGGAAATGATGAAGTCACATTAAAGTGCTCTCTGGAGAGAGACATGCATTTGGGTCCCTGTAATCTTTACAGCTTCCGCTGGCTGGATGAGAGAAGAACTGAGCTCAGAGGTAAAGGTGTCGGATATGAGCTCAGAGGACAGGCGAACTGTATTTCCTATCTGACTGTGAGCGTTCAGAGGGGAAACAGCAGAACGTTCACCTGCCAGTTTGTGGAGGAAAACAGAGTTCTGGTAGAAGCTCAATACTCACCTGTTCCAGCAGGTATGACATCATCATCTGAGTTCTTTAAGATCCAAACGAAATAAGAAGTTTAGACGTTAAATAAAAATGAAGACCTGAACCTCATCGTCCACAGGTTCCACAGGGCCGGGTTCCACAGAGCCGGGTCCCACAGAGCCGGGTTCCACAGGGCCGGGTTCCACAGAGCCGGGTTCCACAGAGCCGGGTTCCACAGGGCCGGGTCCCACAGGGCCGGGTCCCACAGGGCCGGGTTCCACAGGGCCGGGTTCCACAGGGCCGGGTTCCACAGAGCGTTCTCCTCTGTGGTACATCATGCTGACTCTGCGCATCTCAGTCCTGATCCTGATGGTCTGGATCACTGCTTTGGCCATCAGAATCAGACGTGGGGCAGCTCAGACCCTAAACCCGCCCAGTCGTCCATCACCAAGCCAACGCCAACATCTCCATCTCCGTCTGCTTCCAGGAGGGAAAAAGCATCCTGAGGGCTCCCGTGTGAGTAAAAACCTCCTGATCCAGGTCTGTGTCCTGGAGGTGTGTTTGGATTCAGCTCATTTCCAGCAGCTGCTCTGAGACCTGTGGAAAAAAGGAAGGAACTGCTGTTTCATTTAGCTAAAATCTGTTTGTTTTTTGCTTATTTATCTATTTAATTGAATGATATTTAAAATAATGCGAAGTCTTTGAAACCTTTCCAAACTGTCAGAAAACTCAGATGACCAAAAACTTCACAGTCATATCGTCAGTTATCATTATTCATTCATTTATTATCAATCATTCAACTATTTCTGCTTCCATTGTTGTATTTTTGGATCATCTTTGTTTTCCTCCTAATGGAACAACAGGGATCCAACAGCAGCTCTTTTTGTTGGAGGTTACATGATCAAAAGACATACAGTGGAGGATGTGGAGGTGTGTACTCTGCAGTATTGTGTGTGTGTGTGTTTCAGCATCCTGAAGCCGCTGATGAGGACTCTGTGATCTATGAAAACACTGGAGACCCTCCCGCTGCTTCCCCCCTGCCCTGAACTGAGAGGAACCCCCTTCATTCCTGTCAAAACTGTGGCCTTCTGCTTCTTTTAACATGGATGTGACTCTCTCATTGGAACTTCTTGAG